GGAGCTTCTCGGAGTTTCTAGGAGAGGGTCCGATCAGCAGTGTCATCGACTGGGAACGCCGATATGTCTCTTTTGCAGACACAGGTCAAGGTCCTTAGGCGCAATAAGGTACCTGAGCTTCCCTCTCTTGAGCCCCACGCGCCCTTGCCCACCGCACTCCACGGGAACCCTGCCACGCATGTCCCTACCCCTTTCGGGCGCCGCCGGACCGGCCCCTTGGCTCAGGACCCAACAGCCACTGCAGTTCCCTCGCAACCGGAGGCCAGCAAAAAGACACTTGTGCTAGAGCAGGTCATCCCGCCCCCACAGGGAGGAGTCGGCTGGGCGATCACGAGCGAGATGCTCGACCAATGCCTGGAGATGCATGAACTTTGCAACCTGCATCGGGATCTCACCCCCTTGGACAGCGACCTCCGTCGGCAAGCTATCAACTGGGAGAGCCTCCCTGCATGGTACCCCGCCATCCCGTGCGATGAGATCTTCATTTTCACTGATGGATCCTTCATCAAAGGCAAGAGTGTGGCCACCTGGGCATTAGTGGTTGTCGCAAGGCAAGGCCAACACATAGGTACTGTCGGGTTTGTTGCCGGCCAGGCTCAGACACCTGGCACACAGGAGCCTTCTGCTTACCAAGGTGAGTTAGCAGGTCTGCTGCACGCCGCGGCCCTTGCCTGTAAGACGCATTGCCCTATAGTGCACATAGGCAGCGACTGCCAGTCAGCTTTGCTTGTTGGCACAGGGGCGGCGGCGGCCCAGATGTCAGACTCGGCCGCGCGTGCCACCCAGGCACTGACCCATTTGGCCGGTATCCGGGGCACCCTGCTTCTGTGGCATAAAGTTGAGGCTCATTGCGGATGCGCTTTCAACGAACTGGCAGACGCCCTCGCTAAGCAGGCGGGGCGACTCAAAGGGCGGAGCCCGTGGCCCTGCGAAACTCCTAGTTTTGATGCTGCCGTCCAGGAGCACCTGCTCGAGAAGCTGTGGCTGTCATGCCACTGTATCCCCGGCATACCTTGTCTTCTGCCCAGCGGACAGTGGCCAGCGACCTCCGGTAACCCAGTGCTACAGCAGTGCGACCCTTGCCCAGCCGGGTTCGCCGACGGGCCACCGCCCCAGGACCTTTGCCACCTGAACATGCGTGTTGTGCAGTACAATGCCCTCTCCCTTCGTGGCGGGGCGGCCATGGCACTGATTGCCAAGGGTTTGAGACACAACAACATCGCGATTGCCGGCTTCCAAGAGACTCGGCAGGGGCAAACGGGCTTCAGTACCCACGAGGGCTGGTGGATCCTCAGTGCCAGTTGTACAGACAAAGGGGTCGGGGGCACCCAGGTGTGGATTAATCCCAATCATGCAGGACTTACTTGGGAGCGCAAATGCATTTCTGTCTTCCACGCCTCGCCGCAGATTCTGGTAGTGCTTTCCAGGGTCAACGGGCTGGACCTGGCCATTGTCAGCGCTCACGCGCCTCCGGCGACCAGCCCGGAAGAAGTCCTCGACGAGTGGTGGGGCACCTTGGCCCGGATCCTGGCGCGGATCCCCTCACGCTTTACGCTACTTCAATGCATTGATGCCAATGCCAGATTCCACCCCGACCCAGCACGCCGGGCTACCCTCGAGAGCGCGCCAATCTGTGGGAACGCTCGGAGGCTAAGGCAGCATGCTTTCACTACGGAGGCCGAGGTAACAGATCTTTTCTCGCAGAGCGGTAAAAAATTGATCTCGTGGCGCAGCCCTGCGGGGCAGTCCTCTCTCCTGGACTACATCCTCTTCCCGAGGGGCTGGAAGGCCGCGGCCACCACTGAGGACACACCTGACCTCCAGGACCTTCACGGCGACATTGACCATGCGCCAGTCCTACTCACCCTGGATGTTCGCTGTGCTACACGCCGGGGAGCCGCGGAACCTCGTATCGACGTCACTGCACTCCAGACACCGGCAGGGCAAGCAATCGCCAGAAGGGCCTTGGAGACAGTTCCCCCCATCCCGTGGGAGGTATGCAGCACGCAGCACCTGGACCACATCCACCGGCATATCCTGCAGGCTCTCCAGGAGCTACCAAAAGCCCCGCCAAAGCCACGCAATCCTGCGTACACGCCCGCTACTTTGGAACTGGTGCTCCGGAAGCGACACATCCGCAGGTGCCTACGCACGGTCCGACAGCGCGGCGAAGCCCTGCAGCCTGGCCCGCAGGGCCAGCAGGGGGCGGGAGACAGCCAGGATAGGCAGGATAGGTTCGAGGCGCAGGTGCGGCAACATAGCCGCAACGAGGAAAGCTGGGTCCGCTTGCTCCGAGATGTGTCTGATGCGCTCTTCCTTTCCATGCAGCAGGACCGAGCAGAATTTGCGCGGGCTGCCATAGCCAATGCACGTGAGGCGGGTACCCGCGAGTTCGCGTACAAGCTCCGGGCTGTTCTGAGGACGGGGAGACGTTTCCGCAGTCCCCCGCTTGTTCCGGTCTTCAATAGGGAGGACGGTGTCACGGCGGGGCGAGAGCCTGTTTTGGATGCCTTCGCCGACTTCTTTTCGCGACCTGAGCGAGCACGACCGGTTGCACGGCAGAGCCTCTACAGCTCGCAAAACAGCCCAAACCCACAGCAGCTCAGGGATGCAAGCGACATGCCAAGCGTTGTGCAACTCTCCAGTGCCATTGCACGCCTCAAGCGCGGCAAGGCACCTGGCATCTCCAAGATACCAGCTGAGGTGTTGCAAAGCAGCCCGCTTGCCAGCGCAAAAGCTATATGGCCGGTCATGGCCAAAGCTCTGACAAGGGACCCAATGCCCTTCCAGTGGAGAGGAGGGATGGCGACGGCTATTCCAAAGCCGGGCAAAGATGGGTCCCTGCCTCAAGGATACCGCTCGGTGATGCTTCTGGAGCCGTCCGCTAAAGCGGTGCAAACCGCTTTCCGGCCGTCCATTCAGGAGGCCTTTGTTGCCCTCCGCACCCCCCTTCATTATGGAGGGCTCTCCGGAGCGCCCATCACCCTGCCAGCTTCATGTGCCAGAGCCCACCTGCAGTTTCTTAACACAAAGGGCCTATGCGGGGGCGCAGTTTTCATAGACTGCGCGTCCGCCTACTACAGCGTGGCACGCGAAATTCTCGCAGCACGGCCCGAGCAGATCCGAGATGACCAGTGGGCGCAGGCTCGCGCCGCCTTCTTTTTTACAGATGTGCCGAGCCAACTGGCCTTTATACGGGCGCTCAGATCCCACACGGCGGCAGCCACGCTCGCGGAAAATCCACTCTTGGCACACTTTCTTGCCAAGCAGTTGGATGGCACGTGGTTCGTCACCAGGACGGACACGCAGGTCATCATGAAGGCCGAGAGCGGTACAGCCCCCGGATCACCGATCGCCGGCATCCTTTTTGGGATTGTCTTCCAGCGTTTCCTCCGCGACATTAACGCCACGCTGGAAAAGGGGAACTACCGGGCCTTTGCGTCCTTTACGGGCGACACACAGCCAGACCTGTCTGCGCCTACTTGGGCGGACGATGTGTGTGTTTTGTTCCAGACGGCTACTCCCGAGGCTGCCCCGGAGGCTGTGAAGGAGATCCTCTGCCATGTTGTGGCTGCAATGAGAGTCCAGGGACTCGAGGCGAATATGGGCCCCGGAAAGACCGAGGCAATGCTGGTGTTGCATGGAGAAGGCTCACGCCAAGTCCGCCGGGCCCTTTTCTGCACTGAGAACCCAAGCGTCGCTTTCCAGGGGGCGCATGGGGCCATGGAGGTGCGCCTCACTTCTGAATACACTCACCTCGGCTGCACGCTTCGAGCAGATGGCACCGAACTCCCCTGCCTCCGTCACCGGGAACAGCAGGCGATGCAGATCTACCGCCCGCTCAGGAAACGCCTCCTGACGAACCCTTTTCTGACCGTTAGGGAAAAGACAGACTTGATCCGGTCCCGGGTTCTGCCCTCCTTTTTGCACGGAGCGGGGATGCTAACCCTCCGAAACACCAAGGATAAGGACAAGTTCGAGGACACGATCTTCAAAATCTATAGGGGGTCTTTTAGGCCCATCCTCGGGGTTTCCTGCCAGGGCTACACTAACACCGAAATAGTGGCCGCACTCGGATACGCCACACCATCCGAGTTGCTCACCGTGGCAAGGGCACGAACCCTGGCGGAGCTCGCTAAGGCCAATCTGCAACCTGTGCTGCGCTGCCTTGAATCGGCCGCCCTCTGATGGCAAGAGGCCACTCAGGCAGCATGGCAGGTTGGCATTCTCAATGACCCACGCGCGGATGTTGAAACGGCTGCTAACAGTATTCAGCACGATCCCCGCATAGTCTCCAGATGCTGCCGGGCATATCTCCGCCGAGCCAGGGAGTCTCGCGTCTTTGACCACGACACTCTGGCGCCAAGGGAACCCCCAGACCCTGTCTTCGTTTCCTCAGCCAACGGCCCGGCTCTTCCATGGCAATGCGATCAATGTGGCAACGCATACGCTACCCGAAGACAGCTAGCGGTCCACCAGTCCCGCCACCACGGCCGCAGACCGGCATCAGTCTGCAGTGCTTTCGGGACCTGCTGCCAAAGGTGCCTTAAAGAGTTCTGGAGCCTCAGGAGACTTACGGAACACCTGGCAAGGTCAGAGCCATGCTTGGCCGCTTACGCGGCGTCTGACCTGCAGCCGGATGATCCGGCACCGACTAGCTGTGATTACGCATGGCAGCCTTTTGCGAAATGCGAGGGACCTCAGCCGTGGTGGTCGACTTTGAACCCCCCTCTCGAAACAGAGAGAACGGCTTGATGGCCTCTTTTTCTTTCTCCGTTTTCATTTGAGGTATGCCCTGCAAGTGGCATTTTTCCTCTCCAGACCTGCAAGCGAATTTACCGCGCACTTTCGACTAGGGTGTCCGCCAAAAACCCTAAACCCTAAACCCTAAACCCTAACAAACTCGCAACAGTGAGGCTTTGGGTCGCTGCCCGGGTTGCAGACGTCACGGCGTGGCGCTGTGCAGCTCGGAAGTGGTGTAATGTAGGGGCGTAAATGGGAGTTTCCGAAATAAGGGGTACCTTATTTTGGGGGTCCTTATAATAAGGATTCCTACTATTTAGGATGCTAGATTGGGATCCCCTATTTTCGGAAACCCCTAAATAATTACCTTTTTCTATTCTCGGGGCTCCTTATTAGAATTGTAGTATGATGTGCCCCAAAACCTTATTCTAATTCCTAAGGCCCCTATATTAGGGTTTAGGTTTCGTTGTAGATGCTGGGTGTGGAGCGTGGTTTGGGGTTGCTTGGGTTTCATGATTTAGGGGCTTAGAGTTTTAGAGTTTGGGGTTTAGGAGTTTAAGGTTTAGGATTTAGGATTTAGGGCATATGCGTAGTCCAGGTGTAAAAGGAGTTTAAGGTTTTACGTCGGGTTTAGGCTTCTGGTGGAAAGCCGGCATATTCAAATTGGATTGGGGCGTCGCCGATTCCGGGAGCTTCTTTGTGGTTTGTGAGGGTTTACCTGCGGGCTCATACCCTACCCCCTGTTTGGGGTACCTACCTTTCTATATAACACATCCTAACTTGGTATCCCAGAAGGGGTAGGCATGACCCTCAAGTTCCAGGTAAGGTTTGGTGACTTGGAGTCCGGCGCCTAGATCTGCGCAGCCTAAGACGACCGTCTCCTCACGTCCAAGGATCTCCCTTCCCAAAGGGCTCCAGAACCCTCTAGTTCAGGACTATGCTGAAAGTGTTTAAGACTTCTTGCGTGTTTTCGGACTTGAGTAACTGGAAATTCATAGGGGGCTGGACTGTCGTTGCCAGCATTGTGCCCTTGCTCTGAAACATTTAGCCATCAAGCCTCAGCTCGAATTGCCAAACTGGATAGGACTCAGGGTTTTGAATACCAAAATATTCACAGCACGTACACTATTCGGAACCTTCAACTCTACGACAAAGGTATTTGGAGCCTGTAGGAAAGCCTTCTTGTATAGAGATTGCCGAAACCCTCACCGAGCCGTAGCATAGACCTGCAAAAGTCAAAGGCAAAACGTGGAAGAACCATCTGCTGTGTCGGGCCAATCCGGAGCCGCTCGAAAAGGTTTCAGACGAGTGCAGCTGCATGTTTTCTTTGTCGGTCTTATGTGATGTGTATGCTCATGCTTATGAATGCACATATGCTTATATGTATATGCTTGCATGCCCATGTTGTGCTGTGTTATGCTATGTTATGATATGTTATGACAAGCCATGGTGTTGTTTTGTTATGCTGTGCTAAGTTATTCATGGCTGTGCTGTGCTGTGATATTCTATGCTACGCGATATGTCCCTATGCCATGTTATGTTTCGTTTGTTAGGTTCTGCTCAGGCCTGTGCTGTTGTGTTGCCCTGTGTGATGGTGTACTATGCCATGTTATATTGTATTAAATGCCATATGACGGAGTGGCCGCCTTTGCACCCTGGCTTGTGATAGTGTGTTCTGAAGTGCAGGAAGGAGCTGGTTCTCGGCGTCGGTGTTTAGGGGTTAGGGGTTTAGGGCTTAGGGGTTTAGGGTCTAGGGTTTAGTTCTCGGAAGTATTCCGCAACATTGGTATACAGAGCAGCAGCAGCAGCAGCAGCAGTATCAGCAAGACATCGAGGCAAGCAAAAGCAGCCCTGCTCTGGGGTCGTATAGTAGCAGCCAGAAAGTTGGAACGTGACTATCCTCATGCCCTTAAGGTAAAGTATAAGGGACCCCATCACTAATCCTCCTCAACCCCATGTTCCAACTTTCTGGCTTCCATTATACCGCATGCAGGGAGCTGTAGGGAGATCCGTCACTCACATCATCTCGACTGGCTCAGCAACTTATGCGATGGAAAAGGATTAGAGCTTCATGGGTTCCAAACTTTATCTGTAAACCCTAAACGCCAAGGCACAGAAACACGCAAACACCACCGAGATTTATGGTTTAGGGCCGTTGTTTCGAATGCCTGTGAGCGAGAGCGAGAGCGAGAGCGAGAGCAAAAGGGAGGGAGGGAGGGAGGGAGGGAGGGAGGGAGGGAGGGAGAGAGAGAGAGAGAGGGCCGTTTAGGGTTTAGGCCCTAAGCCCTAAACCCAACCCCTAAACCCTAAACCCTAGGGTTTAGGGTTTAGGTAAAAGTGGCTCTTCCAAGCCACAGGCCAGCTCGAGCTCTGACTCCGTGGCCTCGAAGCAGTTGGCCAAGGCAGGGGTTTCAGGGTTTCGGGTTGAGGATTTGGGGTTGAGGGCTTGGGGTTTAGGGTTTAGGGTGGAGGATTTGGGGTTTAGGGTTGAGGATTTGGGGTTTAGGGTTTAGGGTTGAGGACTTTGGGTTTAGGGTTGAGGATTTTGGCATTTAGGATGTGGTTTAGGGTGTAGGGGGTTCCTCCACCATGAGTCTTTGATGATAGCACAACAAACGAATTTAGTTTAGCAAACGTCCAAACATGTGCACGTACAAAACAGAGATGGGAAGATAGTGCCGTTTTTGTTGGCATGAGACCGTCAGTATAGTTTAAGAAGCAGCATGACGAACCCGTAAGCCCCACAACGTAGGATCCGCTCATGAAGAAGCCTGTGTACATTGTAAACCCTAAACCCTAAACCCTCTATCAGTCGAAACCCTGTATCCCTTACGTAACCATGACTTATGGAGCTTGTGTCCCTCCTAGTTGAGAAGCAGACCTGGCTGGGCACCATGTTTAACATTTTCGAGCATTCAGCTTGGGATTATTCTGATCCCCGGTAATCAGACCTAATATTGCATGTCTAGACTGAATTCCTACGTCTGGCAAGGCAGATTTAATCTGTTGTTGAGGTAGTGAGGATGTATGGCTTTTCAGCTGCCGGGCAGCCTCCGCTAGTAGGAATGCAGTTTGTGGAAGAACCCATGCGCAGAAGCACATATGCCTCAGCCGGCATCTTTGTTACAGTTTGCTAGTTGATTAGATCCGAAACCCTTGAACCCTGCATGTTGTACGAGACATTTCCGATGCTCAGACCTCAGCCGCTGTTAGCTGTCGGGTTTAAAGGCCCCGCCTTTGTTTAGTGGGGTCGCTTCCCCATGCTTCACCTTAAGACTCTGAGGAGCATTAGTACGAGTAAAAACCGCAGCCGTCGCATTCTTGTCATAATTGCGGCAGTTGCTTTAGATTGCTACGCTGCTGTGTTGTGTGCTGTCGGTTTTTGGCAACCCGACCCTGCATCCGAAAAGCCACAGGACCTAGTTGTTTTTAAAGACTGTTGATATAAGCTCGATTTGTGATGATGGGGTAGTTTCCTAAATTATGGTTCCTTGTTTTCGGTCCCCAAGATAGTCCGGCACCCTTTTTAAAAGGACCCCCAAAGGGACCGTAATTTAGAAAACTACCCAAATTCCAAGGTCTTAGGTTACCATTCCGGAGCCCTTCCGGGCCTCAATGTTGTTCGGAAATCGGTAGCCGCCATGCTCGTTATTAAGAACCCTGGCCGCGTGCAAGCTTCAACGGCCTAATATGGCGCCTTAATTAGAATATGGTTTGGGGGTAAGTTATACTATAAATATAATAAGGAAGCCCCAAAACCCTATTCAAATTATTAAGGCCCTTGCATCAGGCTTCAGGGTTTGGGGTTTAGGGTTTAGGGGAGGTCAGGATTCAGGGTTCTGGTTTCTATTGGAGGGATCTAGGGCTGTGAGAAAACTATCGAAGCAAAGGCTACACAGAGATCTTAGGCTTTGAAGTTGTTCGTTTAGGGTAACCCCTAAACTAAACCCTAAACTACACCCTAAACCCTAAACCCTAAACCCTAAACCTAAACCCTAAAGTAAACCCTAAAGTATGGCCTAAACCCCGTCAAAAAGACAAGCGGAGCCAGGTCGAAGGTGCCCTGGAGTCGCCCCCCAGGCGCTCGGAGATGCTCGGCGTTTTTGGTTGGGGGATAAACGGGTCGTGGGGTTTAGGGTTTAGGGTTTAGGGGTTTAGGGGTTTAGGATTTAGGGGTTTAGGGGTTTAGGGTTTAGGCATTTAGGGTGTAGGGTTTAGAGTTTAGGGTTCCAGGAAGGGTGTTCGGGTTCAGGATTGAGGCTTCCATGCGGGTCTGGGGCTTTTGCGGTTGAGGGTTTAGGGTCCTACAAGGCTTACAGTAACAGTAGCTATTTGGGTCATGCTACGCATCAAGTTTCAGGGCTTAGTGCTGCATGGTTTTAGACTTGAGTTTCAGAGGCACGGCGTGTCAAGTTCAGGGAAGCTTTCGGGCAAGAGGTTCAGCG